ATCCCGCACCCCTCCTTCTGCCTCCCCCTCCATTTAGAAGAGTCCTGCCCTGCCCGTGCCTAGCCTGTGCTCAACACCTGGACTTGAGGGGCGCCCCTTCTCTAATGGGCGCCATTATTACCTCCCCTCACTTCACTAGTGACCGAAAGTCTCTCCCACTGAGCAAAAGTTGCTGGCTTCCCTGCACCTGACCCTGAGTTAGTGCCAGCCAGCTCTTCACAGGGTGTCCACAGCCACTCGACCTCACCAACACCGCTCTGTATCACCTGCATCCAGGTGTCACCTCCTCCTCCAGGTACCCTCCTCCTAAGGACCCCAAACATCACCCCATGTTGTCACCAACTCCTTCTATCGTCCCTTGTCCTGGCACACCCACCTCCCTTCCTCCTCCCCTGCCTTTCTTGCTGCTTCTCAAGCTGTTTCTCCTCTGCTTCCTTCCCCTGCCCGTGGGGGGGAGGGGGCACACTGGTGGCCCTCGGGTTAGGACTGCCCCCTCTCCTCCTGCCTCCTTTCCCCCCAAGTGTAAGTCAGCTCAGACTCCTGCTTCTAAAAAACAGGGTCCACTGAGTTGCTGAGAGCACATTTGCTCCAAAAGATAGACTAGAGAAAGGCTCACCCAAGCTCATGAGTAACATGAGCTAGCACTCCCGTACCTAGAGTCGAAGGGCACTAGCAGGGAATGTTCTAGATATTCTGTGTTCAAAAACAGAGGATGTTATGGGGATTGGGCACCAGCAAGTTGTCCCTTGGAAGTCCTTCCTTTTAGCTGACTCACAGTCATCTCTCATTAACAGCCGTGGTTTGATATCATCAATTCACAGCACAGCAAAGGAGCCAAAAGTTAAAGTTTTCAAGCCAGTTGTTGAACATAACATTCCTAAGAGTTAATCGATATAAACTTACATTAAACGAGCTGTGAAGAAAAGACCGTATTATGTAATTACCCAAAATGCTATGGCACTGTCTCACATGTGAACTACAGCACACTCCCAGCCTCTGAACACTGCATCAGCAGCTTGAGATCAGCCTTGGGATGAGTATTATTGATTGTGTGGACGAGAAATCAGCAAGTGATAGAAATGTGTTTATATGTTGACTTAGGGAATTTTCCCCCTTTGGTGTGTGTGTGATATGTGTATGTGTACCTAAACGCACGATGTGTCCATGTGCATGTATGAGGGGGTTATCGGATGCTTTTTTCTGTTTCTCTCAATCTCATTCATGTATGGCAAGGTCTGGCACTGAACCTGATGCCAGCAGGGTCTGTCCCTAAACCTGAAGATCCCCAGTTCTTAGTTGGCACAGCTGGCCAGCTATCTCCAGCAATGCTCTAGTCTCTGTCCTGCCGCTCGGTGCTGGAGTGACAAGCACACACAGCCATATCTGACTTTCTATCATTGTTACATAGATGGTTGGGATCTAAGCGCAGGTCCTCATGCTTGCTCCGGCATCTCTCCAGCCCCAAGTTTTACATCTTTTAATGCTGTAAAAATACACAGAGTAGCCAGGCGGTGGTGGCTCACACCCTTAATCCCAGCACTCGGGAGGCAGAGGCAGGCTGATCTCTGGGAGTTCGAGGCCAGCCTGGTCTATAGAGCAAGTTCCAGGACAGCCTCCAAAACAATACAGAGAAACCCTGTCTCGAAGAATAAATAAATACACAGAGTGAGGACCGTGAGTTCTGTCAATGCTGAAACTCTGCTGTGTGGCCCTTCACACGGCCTGCAGATCTCATGGCTAGAACATAGGGAAATGGGAACACTGGATCACATAGAGTGTGGTATGTCAGCTCCACACTGTTATTTCACAGCTCACTAATTCTGTGAAACTATTTTTCAACCATTTGAAAACTATTACCCAATGCAGCCCAAACCACTGGCCATATGGCTGGCAAACAGGTAAAATTCCAAAAGATGTACAGATGAAGCTGGAGGAGGTTTAAGTTTAACATGTATACTCTGAGGCCTGACAAACGGTGGTCACAACTTGGTCCCCACATGGACCCTAGTAGAAGTACAAAACTTAGAGAGAGACACAAATGGGAACTCATTAGTGTTTAGGGGCCATGACCTCAAAGATGACTCAGACATGAGAAAACATCCTGACTACAGACAGGCCCAGAGTGACCAAATAAACCAATTATGGGCTGAAACCTCCAGATCTGTGAGCCACCATAAGCATTTCCTCCATATCTCAAATATTGTGTTACTCACAGAAAGCTTCGCCCAAATACTTAGCCACTAAGACCTTTTTTCACGCTCTGATTTTTCATTTTATATCATACTATTCCATTTCTCCTTCTTTCTGAGGATATTGATTGTGTGCTGGGTTTCTTTGTTAAATTTGTATTTCCTTCTTATCATCTTCTGCCAATGTTTTTTATCAGATTGGCTGGCGAGCCGGCTGGGTGGTTGCATTGACTTGGTCTTATCTCTAGCTTCTGGGAGCACCGCTTGCTGACCTGGTTGTCCTTGACTGTTTCCATGTAAAGCATTGCTAAAATAACCAAGGCTCCTTGAAGAGACGGAGAACTCTAACCCTGAGCCAAGGACATGGCAGATGAGTCCTGCTAGAGACACAGCAAAGGGATGTAAGAGCCAGCTGCAGGGCTCCTAGTGGACAGGTCTCACACACTGAGCACACAAACATGCATCAGCTATAACAGACTATAGCTCGTCAACAGAGTTCTGTGAGTCCACAGTGACACAACTTAATAAATATGCACAAAGAAAGAAAGTGTTTCCTTGGAGGAGATAAAACAACTAATAAAGAAGGAATTAATTAGAAACGATGAGATAACATTCTGGAACAATAGAATAGAGCCCCACGAATGATGTTCAAACCAAGTGATAGATGGTGGTTAATTACAAAAGGAGAAATAATAACTTTACACTGAAGAAACTGGGCAGGCATATCTTTACAAGGGCAACTAAGGTTCAGCTCAGCAGCAGTGGGCAAGCAGACACCACGTGCCCAGGAAGATGCTCTGAGAAACCCTGTGTCAGTGCTGAGGTTCCTGGGGGTGTGTGTGGACTGACCACCACGGCTAGGTATCCTCAGAAAAGCCCAGACTAAAGGATATCCTGCAAAATGCCCGCCATGCTCCTGAAAAAAGTCCGTGTCACAAGGACAAAGGAAGATTGAAAACCTGCTTCCAGTTCTAGGAACACAGCATCTGTGCATCGTGGACAGGCTCAGTGGATAAAGCTCCGGTTTGCAAGCGTGGGAACCAGAGTTGTGGTGCTCCACATGCAGCAAAAGCCAGTGGGCTTCAGGACCCCAGGGCTTGGTAGACAGAGGCAGGGAATCCAGCCAGCTTGACTGGCTACATCGAGCAGGCTCTGGCTACAAGTAACTCTGCCTCATAAATCAGATGAAGAGTGATCGAGGAAGATGCCATTGTTGACCTCTGACCTGCACACTCACCCACTCACAGATGTGGACTTGGAAACACATGGGGGGGCAAACGAGCATAAACCATACATGGAGATCGTTGCTGCTCCCAAGGACATTATTGGCACAACTGGTAAATGTGATCTGTGGACGGTAGCCCTGAATGATGTTGAAAAGAACACCACAGAATCTGGGTGGTGGTGGCTCACACCTTTAATCCCAGCAATCGGGAAGCAGAGGTAAGTGGGTATCTCTGAGTTCGAGGCCATCCTGTTGTGCAGAGTGAGTTCCTGGACAGTCAGAACAACATGGAGAAGCCCTGGCTCACAAAACAAACAAACAAAAACAAGAATGAATCCCCCACCACTTCAGAAGATATGATCTAAGTGGGTGGAGAAATGGCTCTCACAGGGGGTCCTGGGCTTGGGTCCCAGCACCCACATAGTGACTCACAATCATAAGTAACTCCAGCTCCACAGGATTCAACTCCCTCTCATAAAGGCACTAGGCTCACACAACGTGGTTCACATAAATCGTCCTGGGTTTGAGATCGAACAGGAGAAGACGGCCCTGTGCTCGAACCCACACTAACTCTATACTACTGAACTCTGCCCACAACCTGCCTCCAAAAATCAAGGGGTTTTGTTTTGTTTTGGGGGGGTTGTTTTGTTTGTTTTTAAGGAAAAATTGAGAATTGGATTGGAAAGGGCACCCAGGGGTCCAACTGAGCATGCGAAGAGAGCAAGCATCAAGATTCCTGCCATGCTAAAAGGGAGGGGAAGGGGTGTGCCCGCTGCAACAGAAGATCGATCGGCACCCTGGGGAAGGGATGGACATTAGCTCGACTGCTGCAATCATTTCACAATGTATCCTCAAAAGCATTAATTCATAAGCCTTAAATATACGCAGTATTGTCAACCACGCCTCAATAAAGCTGGGCAAAAGTTAATCCCGCTGCTTCCTGTTCCGCTTGTCCTTACAGCTTTGAAAATTCAATAAGATCTGCTGCAGATTTAATGGTCTCAGGTGTTCGTCACTGCAAAGAACTCGCTGTGCTTTCTCAACTCTAACGGTGGCAAGTGCCCCTCGTGTAATTCAGAGTATTTATACTCAAGCGCAGGAGTTAAATGCCGTGAACGTACGCAACACAGTGTAAGAATAACCAGGCTTCTGGCAAGAAGATAAGCGGACTTGAAAAGAACCTGGGTGACGTGGGAAATGCTCCCAGAAACGTTCTTGGTTCAAATCCCAAGGCTGTCGGCCCTTGGCCTCATGACATCATCAGCCCTGAGCATGAAATAATACACCCCACCCACACCTTATTTTCTTTAAACTTTTTTAACCCTCGGTTACAACAGCAGTCCCTTGGGAGGGACGTTCCTGGCTGAGGGAGCAGTGCACGAGTCTCACAGGTTCTGGAAAGCCAGTGGAGCCGAGTTTCTCCAGGGTTCAAGGCCACAGCCTTGCTCCAAAAGCGAGATTTTAAAAATGAAAAACACCAGCAGGGTACAAGGCAGGTCAAAGGCCGAGCGCTGAGCCAACCCCCGGATCCCACCCCTGCTCGTCTCCAGCTGCAGCCTCAGAGGCGCCCCCGCCGGTAGAAGCCCACGAGGAGCGGCGTTTCCGCGTTTCCACTGTAGACCACAAGGGGGCAGAAGAGGACAAGGAGAAAACCTGGGCGATGGCGTGGACCCGGGTAGCAGCAAAATCGGACACTACACTCTCCAAAACGACATTGTGAAAAAGACAGCGCGGGAGGAACACAGTGATGAGGGGAGGACTCCGCTAGCCACGGTGATCCCTCTGGTGTGAACAATCATAACTGTAAGGTGCTGGGCACTCAATTTATCACGTAGAGCTATGCAAACTAAGGACGAGCTGTCCAAACAGGAGATCAACAGATGTTTAGTGACCGAGTCATTTGACTTCTCTGGCCTTGCTTCCCGTCCTCACAGGGTTGCTGCAGGGAAGTGGTATAACACATCCAGTGTCCTAGAACAGGATACACCAACTGCCATCTTGGTGATGACGTCACCGACGCCCTTGTTTCTGAATGTTCCCAACAGGAAGAAGGGCCCCTGGGTTTCAGATTTTAAATTGCTACTGATGTGGGTGGGGAAAACATTTCCCTCATATTACAGAGGAAGTAACCAAGGCCCACAATGACTGAAGGACTTAGCACCCAGATCAAATGCTACGAAATGCCAGGGCCAGGACCCAAGATCAGGCCACTACGTCAGCCCAGGTGACAGAAAGTCCTGCTCACGCTAAGATACACTTCCCAATTTCTTCACTTCCCGTCCAGGGTCACCGGCACCAGGTCTGGGGTTGCGCCTACCACTCAGGTGGCACCAGGAGAAGGTGCCTGTTGGTGCAACAAACTGCATTTGACCCCTGAGATTCACTCGACCACAGCTGCGTGGTCCTGGGTCAGGTACCACACACCGTCTCTCTTGTGGGATCCTCTCTTCCTCGGCAGGGTAAGTTGAGGGGCCCAGAGGTGCACACAAGATGTTCTAAGCGGGGACTCGGGTAACGCCTGAGAGGAAGACAAAGAACAAGATGCCTGGGTTCTTCCACGGGACCCTGGGCTGTAATGGAGCAGATTCCAGTCCCGTCCGATAAAATCTGCTTCTTGTTTGCTGTGTCTCGGGCCCTGGGAGATTTATAACACCTAATACAGTTAGCCTTCTCAGCCAAAAATACTAACTTGAAGACAGAGCCCCTTATGCCAAGCATGCCCCTTGAGAAGAACGCATGCGTGGGACTCTAACCCAAGCATGGAGTGAGCATCAAAGCTTACTTCAAGCAGACTTGGGGTCAGCTTTGTGAGGCTACATGATCCCCCTCCTTGTGTGCATCCCTAACAGATGACCCCAGACTATCTCACAGAGCCGACTATGTCCCCTAAACAAATGGCCTCCCTCAAGCCATCTCATCCTCCACCACCGGCCTTGCTCTTGAGTCCCTGGCTCTTAGAAAATGGGGAAGGCTTCCTCCTGTCCAAAGTGACTCCTCCCTCATGCACCCCCTTGTAGGCAGAGATCTCACATACCCGCAGCACTGGCCACACCCATTTGGGCGTGGTCACAGGTGCGTGGGGGAGAGGTGGAGATAAAGGTCCAGGAAGGGACTAGAGCAAGGCAGAAGGGGTCACGCTCTCTCTTGGGGCTGGGGTCGATGTCGGAGACCAGCAGAGCGCTGACTTCAGTTCTCGGCTTCTCATGTAAGTGACTTCTCTCTCTCTAATAAAGCATCTTACGACTCGTGTTCCATCTTCACCCCTTCTTTTATCCCCACCCCTTGTCAACAGCTCGACCGCCTCCCACACCCACAGATGCTGCCCACAGTCTGTCTCCACAACCTCCGCACATCACTCTCTCCTCGGCCCTGATTACACTTCCCCTCCTCTACCCCACTCCTCTGAAATGAAAAACCACACCCACTCAAGTCCCCCTTCTCTCAAGGAGCACTGGGAATTTTCTAAACGAACAACGAGAACAACCTCTCTAAAGCTAATAGAAACACACTGACCTTCCCTCATTCCAGAACCTTCCATACTCTTTTGACACCAGCCTCTGGGTTTCTCTTCTTCTCCATAGATTACACTTCTCTGCAGATACCTCCAGAACTCCCTGTTCTGTGCTGAGTGTAGACCCCAGACACCAACTGTGTCCTCTTCATTTCTACCTACGTGACCCACACTTTTCCAGCTCAGCATGTCAAACTGAGCAGACTCCCTCAAGGCCTTTGACAGTGTAGTCCCAATGTTCAGTCAGACAAGCCCCGAGGGGTCCAAAACAAACAGTTCTCTGTCAGCAGAGGGCCCTCAGCGCCACGTTCCTGCACGGGACTGCTGCAAAGTCTCCCTGACCCTCTAAGGAGTTCCCTCTAGCTCTGGCTGCCCTCTGCACGCAGCAGATCAATACACACACACACACACACACACACACACACACACACACACACACACTGACAACGGCCAATCAACCGGCATCAACCTGTAGATACGGTGCTTCCCCAGAGCTGTGGAGTCAGCACATGGCTTTTTACCAACTGCATTAGCCCCCTAAGACCTATCGACAAACAGCTACAAATAACAGAAGTTTATCCTCTGTCACTTCTAGAGGCTGGGGTCTGAATTCAAGGCATCCATAGCCATGCTGCCTGCAAAGGATGCAGGGAAGAACCCCTCCTTGCTTCCCCGAGCTCCTGTGCTGTGTCTCTGTCCCTAACTTCTGACCGTGTTGCCCACTCATTGGAAAGGTTCACTCTACTTCCAAGGACGCCTCTCAGATCTGTGAAGAAGCCATTTCTGGTGAAGCTCACTTTGTGATTCCGGGTAAATATTCAGCACATTTAAAAGCAGGTTTGGTGTGAACAGTTGCATTACTGTTTCCCTTTTTAAGAGCTCAGATCACACACACACACACACACACACACCAGACTTGATCCTTCCTGCTCCCAACTCCACCTGCCCCCATTCCACTTGTGAAATCTGTGCTATTTCCCCTTCCCAAGGAGATCCATAGGTGTCCCCCTTGAGTCCTCCTTGTTACTGAGCCTCTCTGAGTCTATGGATCGTAACATGATTGCCTTTTACTTTACAGCTAATAGCCACTTATAAATGAGTACATACCATGTTTCTCTTTCTGGGTCTGGGTTACCTCACTCAGGATGATTTTTTTCGTGTTCCATCCATTTGCCTGCAAATTTCATGATGGCATTGTTTTTAACAGCTGAGTAGTACTCCACTGTGTAAATGTACCACATTTTCTTTATCCATTCTTCAGTTGAGGGACGTCTATGTTGTTTCCGAGTTCTGGCTATTTTGAGTAAAGCTGCTATTCCAATGGGAGGGGGACATTACTGGGACAAGTTGGAAACCTAGTACAATGGAAACTCCATGGAATCTACGAGAGTAACCCTAGCAAAGCAATGGAGGACATGGCGGATCCTGAACCAGCCATCCTCTATAACAATGCAAGGCCTCACATGGAAAGATTGGGACAGCAACCCAGCCACAAAACCTTCGACCTACAGTTTGTCCTGCATGCAGAGTGTTCTGGAACCAGAGCCTAGCAAAAGCATCATCAAAGAGACCAGCAACTGATGTGAGCAGATGCAGAGACCCACAGCCTCAAGGAGTACTGGGGAGGAGAGGGAGGAAACAGAGGCGTCAGGGACACCATGAGAACTTGGCCCACTGAATCAATTGACCGGGACTCTTGGGGGCTTGCAGAGATCGGGGCTCCTATAGAGGAATCTTCATCTGATGCCTGACTACACAATAATGATGTATTTGACTCTCACTATGAGACAATGTTCATTCATCCATCCATCCACCACACACACACACACACACACACACACACACACACACACGTGTCTTCACCATTCCTAAGCGCGCCTGCCCACCTTCCAAATGCCATCATCCTCCATACACTAAGGACTTCCTTTGACTGCCAGAATCCGTTTCTGCCACCCTGTGTCAGTTCTCAACACCAACCATCAGAACACATGCCCTCATGGGTAACTGCAGTTCCCCAACAGGGGGCGCTACAGCCACTCATGCCCCTATGGTTCTAGGTTCTCCTGTCCCACTGTTTCCTATGGTCTTGTAAATGCTTCCTGGAATCACCAGGTTAACTATCTGCAGGGAACATTAATCTCAGAACAGGCTTCGGGAGCAAACCAAATCTGAAGCCCCAGACTTGGCCTACATGTGGTATTTCATCTCCACAGACCACAAAACATAGGAGTGATGAGTGAATTCTCAGAAAGAAAATTAATTAGTCAGTAATTTATTCAGCTATTGGGCTGGAGATATAATAGCTCTTTGGTAGACGGCTCACCTAGCATATGCAAAAACAAAACAAAAACAAGCAAACAAACATACTAATTAATGTTGTACCCAGCTCCTCTCCTGCCCGGGCCTGGAGTGGTCCTAGGATGCAGTGAGGATAAGTTCCCCATGCTTTCTAAACTCCTAAAGCTTCAAAGTCTGGGAAGGCCAACTTTTAAGAAAACCTGGTTTGCTGCCTCTGGAATCCTACAACATGACCCTGAAAAATCTTTAGAATATTAAGAAGGCAGGATGAGCCCAATCTAATAAAGAGAAAGATCACAGTGGATGAGCTGCCGTTTATCCACACAGCAAATATCCCCCCAGACCTGCTCAAGTCTCGCGACATAGGCACGAACGTGTGAACTGCAAACAGAGCACCACAAGAGCAGCCGCCCCACAGCAAGCACAGGGTAGGAGGCGGTGCTTGGAGGGGGCAGGGGTCACTAGAACTGCCTTCGAGGACAAGCACGCAGTCGCAGTTGCAAAAAGGAAAATCATTCCTGCAAAGGAAACTGCAGAGGGAGGGAGGAGTGAAGGCCGGTCTGCTTGGGAAGCAAAGAGTGGATGGGTGTGGCTGGGGCAGAGTAAGAGAAGTAGACAGGACAGGACTCAGGAGCTCTTACAACTTTTGAGTCTCTTGAAGGCTCTGTTTTCTCCTCTGCAAAATGAGCATCCTGTTAATTCATGCTTATGCAGGAGATATCTGCACTGTTTGGCATTTTGTGGGCACTGGGGGAGCAGGGATTCTCTTGTTCTGAGAATCACCGGATTTTAAGTAGCATGTGTCAGTTGGTGTGCAGCCCCTGGGGATACCAGTGAGGGCTACCGTGATCAGATATTGGCTGCAGGAAATCCATAGCCCCTTGACCTATCCAAAGGTCACAGCAGTCTGGCACATTGCCAACAGCTTCTTGTGCCTGTGACAACTTTCTCTAGTACTCTTCAGCCATCTAGTATTCCTCAGCCACATGCAGTGCAGACCAAATCCAAGCAGGAGGTGATCCTGGGAGCTGCTCAGTCTGGTTCCCAGTTGAGCTGAGTCACAGGGAACCCCAGAGGTTGGGGTGATATATTGTTTATGATCTACTAAAGCTTGCCTGGAGATCAGAATACAAAACTAGCCACAGCCATAGAGGCCAGGCAGCGGTGGCACACACCTTCAATCCCAGGAATCAGGAGACAGAGGCAGATGGATCTCTGTGAGTTCAAGGCCAACCAGCGCTATAAGAGAGTGAATCAGTCTAAAAGAGAAACAGAGTTCACACCTTTAATCCCAGAACTAGAGAGGTTTATAAGATAGGTCTCAGACCTGGCATTCAGTCTCAAGGCAATTAGTCTCCAGCCACACTGAGGACATGATTACCCCAGCCTTGGTAGAGGTAAGAGCTCTATGGTGATTTGGCTGCTTTGCTTTTCTGATCTTCAGCTTGAACCCCAATAATCATCTCTGAGTCCATATTGTTCATATCACTATCATATCATTCATTACCTTGTCTTACTTCCCCTCTTCCTCAACAAGCTGCTGACAGGACATCTCCCAGATCAAGCCCTGATACCCAAAGCCTCAGATCCCACTTCTGAGGAATCCTAAACTGAACCATTAGTACCAGAAATGACCCTAGAAAATGTAGGTCTCAGGAGAAGATTTGAAAGTCACATTGCTAACACAGCCAGACCACAAAAAGGGCACTGGTTTTGGTGTTCAGGGACTGAGTTCACAGAATCCCACTAACAAGCTCCCTGCCTGTCACGGTCTGGGTACACACACACACACACACACACACACACACACACAAGTGGAAGAGGAATGAAGGATTCAACTGTAGTGCCAGGATGAATGATGTAGTGGCATTGGTGGTTATAAGAATGGTGAAGACCCTGCCCAGCTTAGGTTATTATATATGCTGGGGACCTCAAAGGTCTCCATGGGACATTCATCTCCTGCTTACAGCTAGAAGACACACTGGGCTAAAAAGTTGGGGAACAAAATTTTATTGTTAACATAATTAAATTGCATAAAAGACTGGGTCCACAGTCCCAACAATTCAAGACCCCCAAAAGAAATAGGACTCTGAGTTTTGGGATTCAGGTTTGAGAACCTTACAATCCCGCATTCCCCTAAATCTATAGATTGGATTTTTAGAAAGAATAGCTTCCCATCACCACGAGGCCATGTCCTCATCTAAAACAAATGACAGTTGCCTTCCTGCTTCTCTCCATCACAACACCTCCCTCTGCCCATGACACATGGTCTCATCTCAGCATAGCTTGATGATGCACTATCTCTTGCACTGATGCTAACGAACATCAAGGCTACAGGTGCAGATGCTCAGCAGGAGGAATCAGGGCCATGTGTGAAAGGGCATCTTTCCTTAGGTTATGTTGTTTTGAGTCAAGGACTTGTTCTGCAGCCCAGAATAGTCTCAAACTCATGACCAGACAGGACCTGGGTCCCTTAAGAGGCTCAGACTTGAGCCAATTTTCTGACCCATAACCAAGTAAGTTCAGTGAGTGGTATTTCCTTTCCCCAAAGCCCTACAACAGATTACTACACTCATTACAGATAGGAGGAAGAGGGGCTGCCAAGGCTGTTGGGTTTTTCCAGCTTTATTCAGGTGAACATGACATGCAAACACCTAGATATTTACAACATTGCTTCATGTACTGTGGCCAGTGTCTTAGAAGCCTAGTGTAAGTGAGGCTGTATTTGGCCGATTTCACTACTTCACAACCATGTTGGACCAAATGGCAGAATTCCTTTCATTAAAATGCTAAATAACATTCCACCATGTGTTCTTTATCCATTCAACTGCCAGCTTATGACATGGCTGTCTCTTGGCTAACATGGATGATGCTGAAGTAAACATGGAGGTGCAGCCATCTCTGAGATACTGATTTCCTACCAGAAGTGGGGTTGCTAGAACATACGGCAGTTCTATGCTAAACTCTTGAAGCACCTCCTCCTCACTGTTTCCCAAGAAGCCTATGCCACTCTACATCTCTCCTCCCCCACGGTGTATAGGGTGCCCTCTTCACACCTCTTTGCCAGCACTTGCTGTCTTTTGTCTCAGAAAACAGTAATGCTCACAGGTGTAAGGCCTCTCTCACTGTGACTTGATTTGCATTTTCCTGGTAGTGATTGACACTGAACATCTCTTCATGTGTTAATTGACCATTTGTATATCTTATCTTGAGAAATGTCTGCTCAGATCCTTGGCTTACTTTTAAGGGATAATTTGAGTGTGCATTTGTTTATTATTGAGTTTTGGCTCCTCAGAGAGTTGGGATATTTAAACCCCAAGTCAGATGTTTGGTCTGCAAATATATCTCCCATTCTGTGGGTTATCTTTTTGCTCTGTTGAGTAAACAGCTCTTGCTGTGTGGCTCTGACGTTTGGTGCAATCTCCAAGCCTTTTCTTGCCTGTGTTACCTGTACTTTTGGTATAGAACACAAAAACATCGTTGTGTAGACTAATGGTTTCTGTTTGAATCTTTATTCCATTTTGAGTTGGTTTTTGTAAGTGTAAGATAGGATCTAAAGTCAGTTTTTCTACATATAGATACTCAGTTTCCACAAACCATTTGTTGAAAGACCGTCCCTTCCCACTGTGTGTTCTTGACCCCTGTGACTGTCAGTTGACTATAGGTGATGGATTAATTGTTTTTAGATACCTATTCTGGTCTATTGACCTACAAAGCTGTTTCTATTCCATTACTGTACTGTTTTTATTTCTGGGGGGCTTTTTAAAGATTTATTTATTCATTTATATGAGTGCTCTACTTGCATGTAGCACCTTCATGACGGAGAACGTCATCAGAGAGAAGAGGGTGTCGGATCCCATTGCAAATGGTTGTGAGCCACCATGTGATTGCTGGGAATTGAACTCAGGCCTTCAGAAAGAACAGTCAGTGCTCTTAAGCGCTGAGTCATTTCTCCAGCCCTGATTTTTGCGTTTTTATTTTACTGTGTTTTATAATATATTTTAAATTTTGGAGGTGTGGTACCTCTTGATCAAAGTGGCTTTAGCCATTTGATGATTTTGTGGCTCTGTATAGACTGTAAACTTCTGTGTATATCCCTCTAAAGACTGCCATTTTCAATAGGAATTTCCTTTTACCTGAAGGTCACTCTGAGCAAAGTGGAAATTTTAAACAATATTAATTTTGCCAGTTTATGAACACAAGCTGTCTTTCCATTCATCCTTGTCTTATTTTGTTTCCATCATGCATATTTTTTGTAATTTTGTGTGGGGTTTTCCTACATATTCTCCTCTATTACTCCCCCCCACAGCAAGCTATACCACCCAGCTCCTAAGTATTTAACTTTTTTGTTGCTAATGTAATCATGTGTTTTCTTAATTTTCTTTGCATATAAAAAAGCAACAGGGTCTGGGAATGTAGAAACTGGAGGAGTGTGGAGGAGTGCTTGCCTACTACAAGCAAGGCCCTGGGTCCAAGTCCACCAGAAATAAAAGAAAGCAAGACCACTGAGAACTGTATGCTGTGTTCCAGAACTTTCTGAGGTTGTTTACAGGTCCTAACAGTCTTCTCACTGAGTGTTCAGGGCCCTTTATATGCATGATTGCATCAGCTGCAAACAAACCCATTCACTCCTCCCTTGACAATTTCAATGGCTCTTCAGCGCTTCTACTGTCCAGTTTCTCAGCTAGGACATCCAGTCCTGAATGCCGCAGAAGTGGTTAGAGACTTGCACTAGTCCTCCCTTACTGGGGACGTCTTTTCTCCACTGGTGAGAACACTGTGAAATAAGCACTAATGTCAGGATAATACTTTTAGTCGTATGTAATTACAGCAGATCATATAAAGGCCGGTTTCATTCGAGTACACAATGTTCTTTGAGCACATCCCCCCAGTATCTCACTGCCTTCCCTTCCCATCCATCCTCCTTCCTATTGGTCCCATTTATTCCCCAGTTTCAGCACTGCTTTATGTCATCACTGCATGTATGGTTTTATGTATCTATAAAGTACAGGACCTACAGATGAGGGGAAACATGCAGCATTTGTCCTTCCCAGGCTGGTTTAATTCCCTGAAGACAGCCATCCCCAGGTGTACCTGCTTCCCTGCAAATGACAGAACTTTATCCTTCTTCATGACTGAAAGATTCTTCAACCCAAGGCTTCACTACACAGCTCAGTATCCCCGTGTGAACCTGGTATGGACCACAGGCCGGCCTCAAACTCACAAACTTCTACCATGAAGACACAGTTAGATGAATGCCGAGTCTATGAGCTCTGTGTCTGCATCTGCGTCTACTTGGGGGAGGACCAGAGGACCCCACAGGGAGTGAGGCAGGACTTAGGGAAGAGAAAGAGCCAGTGCTGGGCTTGTTGTTAAGACAGCTGTCACCATGGACCACTGGAGCCTCAGTCCTGAGGGAAAACCCTGGGAAATGGCACAAATACAAGACTCAGAATTATCTCACTGAAAGGGCAAGAGCTGGAGAGTTTGCAAAAGTCACAAGTGGGGACTGGCCCTGGGGGCTGGTAGCTTGGCACTTCGGGTTTGTTTATAAGTAAGTGACACATTCTCCTATCGCACGTACTTTCTACATGCAACACCTGCAGTTGGTCACGGTACTAAAAGTCCTTTCCTATTAGAAATAATTATCTTCAGTAATTATTATGAAAGAAAGAAAAATAACAGAAGGGGTTAAATAGAAACAGACACAGTGAACTTCCTTTTGTTGAACTTTGGATGTTTAGCTATGCTATCATATGATGATGATGATGGTGATGATGATGATGATGATGATGATGATGATGATATAAGGCTTAGTTCCAGCCGGGCGTTGGTGGCACACTCCTTTAATCCCAGCTCTCAGGAGGAAGAAGTAGGCAGATCTCTGTGAGTTTGAGGCCAGCTTGGTCTACAGAGCAAGTGCCAGGACAGGCTCCAAAATTTCACAGAGAAACCCTGTTTCAAAAAACCAAGTAATAATAATAATGACAATTATAATAATAATGATAATAATAAATCACTAAGGGAGGCACACACTGTGAATCTTTCACAATAATAACCTCTACAACTACATCCCTTTATAAACCTTCACTTCTGTAAATTTGTCAATGATGCCTTTAAATGGACAGTATCACTTAGTCATGTGACATGTCCGTGTTACATGGACAGTATCAATTAGTCATGTAACATGTGCATGTTACATGGACAGTATCACTTAGTCATGTGACATGTCCATGTTACATAGACAGTGTGGCCTACTTTCATCTTTACTTTCTTCTACTAACTTTACAATTTGAAAGTTTCTTTTACATGAAATATCTGCACAAATACTTTGATAGAAATTTTTTAAGTTTTTTTACACATGTATGTGTGTATGTGTGTGTGTGTGTGTGTGTGAGTGTGTGTGTGTACAGGCATACCAAAGCATGTACATGGAGGTCAGAGGCTAACTTGTGGGAATTGGCTCTCTTCTTCCACCACATGGGTCCCAAGGACTGAACTCAGGCTGCAGCAGATGCCCCTACTCTCTGAATCATCTTTGCCAGCCATTTAGTAGAAATCCTCAAAAACCATTTCACTGCAAATTCCAGAATTGTCAGTAGCACACATTGGAGGAATTAAACTTGTTTGTAAACAGAAAGAAAAAAATTCCTCCACAAGTCACCACAAAATTCTAGAGTGTGTAATAATCTATTTTATCCTACAAAATCAGACAAAAATGGGTCAATGGTAATGGATATTGACATTATTTGAAACACTATTTTATATATTAAGTATGAAGTTCCTGGCAGGGATTTTCAAAACATGCAAATATTCTTTTGATTCATCCTGAAATCCTGATAGTCTCCTTCAATTGCTGACTCTTTTTGTCCCTTCACATCAATTCCTTTCCCTTTATGTTACATAACTTATAGCCTTTGTTCTAATTTTTACTGTCAACTTGAAGAGAGAATTCAAGAATTGCCCAGTTAGATTGGCCTGTGCTCATATCTGTGAGATATTGTCTTGGTTCATGATTCATGTGTGAGGACCCAGTCCACTGTGGGTGGCACAAATCCCTAGGCAGGTGAGCCTAGGCTATGTAAGAAAGCCAGCTGAGCACAAGACAGGGAGAAAGCCAGTAAGCAGCCTTCCTCCACGCTTTCTGCTGCAGTTCCTGTGCTGGCTCCCCTCAGTGGACTGATTGTGACCTGGAAGTGTAAGCCACCCACCCCTAGGCGGATTCTGGTCATGGTGTTTGTTACAGCAGCAGAATGAAACTAGATTAGCCTCTATCACAGTTGTAAGGTTCTGATCTTAAAACAGGCATTTCTATACCTTTTCCGATGCTGATTTCAGCTCTTTATAAATATGTTTGTATTTTATTAACTCCATTTAAAATTTCAAGCCAAATAATAAAATTCTGAAAGCAAATCATGTGGAACAAAAAACAAATTAAGAGTGGAGATTCTTGTCTATGCTTTATTTTTAAGGTGTACAATATTTTAAAAGGTAACATTAACTTTTCATATTATGTGCTTCCTGTATACACAGCTTATTCATTTATTGTGGAATATTTTGATCCCACTCGGACACTCACAAGACTGCCAATAAAGTTAAATCTTGAACCAGAGGGCGGAGTCAGCATTCAGCTGGCCAGAATTAACTCTAGAGTTTTTGTCCAACCCAGATTAGAATAGAGAGACATGGAAAGGAATGGAGAGGGGCTTACTGTTGTTCTTTTGCTTCAAATGCTAGGATAAAACTGGAGGGGCGTCCCATGGCAGATTCCATGGCTGGTATGGGTGACGGAGGCAGGGGACAAACACACCAGGCAGACAGCTTGAGTGAGAAGTTTCATTAAAAAGGGGAGGGAGGGGAAGGAAAGAGAAAAGAAGTAAAGAGAGACAGAGGGAGGACAGAAGAGAAGAGGGAAACAAGAGCAGAAAGAGGAGAGAGCAGAGAAAGAGAGAGAGCAGAAAACACAGGAAGAGAGCAAGAGAGCCTAAGTGGTGGTAGGTCTGTCTTTTAAAGGGTCCTTTGCACCTGCGCACACACTAGTACTCATGGAACCCTGGGCTGACCAGAGTACTGCCTGACTGCATCCTGCTAGGTGACAGGGGCAGGCCAGCGTATGCCTGAATCCTTACACTTAGAAAGGTTGGCATGCCTTCTGGATCTGGAAGTATGGAGAGGCAGGGTCAGCTGGTGGTTCCTCCATTGCTCTTTGGATCTATCAGGGACCACCCTGAGTTAATCAAGGCCTATAGAGTGAACTCCCAAGCCCTGGCAATACATCACTCTCAACCCTGCCCCTAAATGAAAATCCCTCTCCAGAGAAGGCTCCAATACTAAGAACACAAAAGCATCACTCAGACAACCAGAATTTCTCACTGGGGAGACTTCAGATCAGATTTGGGGAAAAGGAGGGAAGCAAACAGAGGGCCCCCAACCAAAATGACAGGTGCCAGGAGTGCCTTGAACAGTTGCTTTTCTAACTGGGTAAAAGTGCCACACAAGGTTACCAAGGTTTGAAATCAGGATTAACTATTCTTGCCACGCTTTCCCAATCCCAAGACAAAGTTCTCTGTGTAACCCTGATTGTCCTGGAGCTCACTCTGTAGACCAAGCTGGCCTCAAACTCAAGAGATTCACCTGTCTCTGCCTCCCAAGTGCTGGAATTAAAGGCATTAGCTGCCACCAACAAACTAGATTAAATATTCTTAACAAATTGGTTTCTAAGAAGTTTGAATTCCTGACAACTTGGAAGGTCACAGATCTGTCTGCTCTCAAGCCACACCACACTTGGGTGGCACCAAATGGGGCCAAGTTTATTTTCTCCTTCCCAGTTTCTCCATATGCTCCTAGAGCAATGGTAGCACCCATGGACACTTCTGCATAAACTCCTAGAGCAACGGTAACACCCATGGACACTTCTGCATAAGCTCCTAGAGCAACGGTAGCACCCATGGGCACTGAGCATGCTGCCCCATTCCCTCTGCTTCTTTCATAGGTTCTTTTCCCAGTGACACCTTGTGCCGAGGAGCCAAGTGGGCATCAAAAGAAGATCCAGATGACAGTACTTGGTTCCCAGTTGTTATCTGTGGTTAGATGTGTGGACTTCCCTTCCTTGAGTTAAGACCATAGGATTCCTTCCTTTATTCCTTTACTTTGCTATCTTTGGCCCAGATACTTCAGGGCACTTTCTCCTGCTATCTTCCTGTTATCCCTGATAACCTAACTTCATTTTTTGTTTAAAGAAAAGGGTTAACTGTCGTTTGATCTGAGAGATATGTAGATCCCATGGGGATTCAGACCCTGAGAGGGAATAGGGTCATTTTTATCACCAAAATGACCCCACTGGCAGAATGTTGCCCACCCTCTTTAATACCTGGGTGGTAGTGACTGAAGGGACTGACTACATGACTTGGTCACCATCTTGGCAGTGGCAACCATACAGCATACCAATGTGGTAGCACCCATAAAACTTCCAGTGCCACTAAACCCTCAGGAAACCACTGAAGTCCTAGAACTCCATGTGTCACAGGTATTTGATCAATTTCTCTTTGGTTTTCACTTTCCTGGATGCCTAATGGGATTCTGAACATAAAAGACCAAGATAGACTATATCCTGTGATAAGGCCAATGCATTTCCAACTAAAGAGGTCACACCAGACCACTATGGTGCACTTCTTTGGATTTTTGACACATTATTTTTGCATTATGCTTGGTTTAGGGGTACGGGACAATTGGAGTTTTCCTAGTCATGTGCCTTCAACACTGACCAGGGGGAGCT